CAAAGATTTATCGTGGGAGTTAAAGGGTTGAATAAAGTCAGCCAAAAGAAATTATCAAGCTTAGTGTGATGCAAGATATCAGGGACTTACAGAATTTTACCATTGTGTTGACCTTGCTTATGAATTCTCCTCTGCTGGCATCCCTGACACAGCCTATGCTCAGCAACACAACTCTTAGCAAAGGCAAGGCCCTTTGTGTACCTTATACCCACATTTACAAGGCGCCTCTATCTGCCCTTTGCTCTCTCCTCCTCCAGCTTTCCCATCTAGAAATACAACTAATACAAGGTAAATCTTTGCCAAGTTGCACAGGCCCTCTAGAACAGCAAATAGTCTGAAGAGAGGGAAACACATCCAGAGCTGAAGAGGACTAACAAATGTAAACACCTCACTCGCACCCAGAGAAAGAGAACGGGGAACTGCAGCCCTGCATTTGAGCTTCTGCCACCTCATTGATCCTTCTCTAGTAAGGTCTGAACTGGTATCTATGAGCTGATAATATTGATACTAACATTTGACAGCAATGGAACTTTAAAACATAAAATTTCCTAAAGGACTCACTGCTTTGTGCTACTGTAATGAGCAAGGGTCTATTCCATGGCCATAAAGAAATTATGTAGTCCTAAAGATGAATCATTGTTGTCCATAGCAATATGAGATTTTCTGATAAATAACTGTATTTTTATATTTTATTTCCAGGACGAGCAATTGTTTAGCTTTTCAATTTTTTAGAACATTTCAAGACTTCCCTCTTGGCATGTTGCTTCATGAGCTCTTTTTATATTTCATCCTTAGGACAGGATATCTTTTCCTGGTTGGTAGGAAAATGGTAGGGTCTGGGCAACAATCTGCAGGCCTTTGCTGATGTCAAGAAAAATAAAAATACTTCTTGCTCTCACAGAAGTGCTAGACTGGAATAGTGCACTTCATATTGACTACATCTAACTCAGAAACGTAAAGAAATGTTTTTAGAAGCTAAAGAAAGATTAATGGGGAAAAGATTGATACATTTATAGGTCAGCTTGTAAAAGACACTTTTTTTTCAAAACAGGAGGGAAAACCAGGCATTTGTAGGTTGGTAGTCTGATTGTTTAAGAGTTTTCCTAAGAAGGGGAGACTTTTACAGAGCTGTTACTGCAGCTGTGCATTATCTATGTATTTAGAGAACAACGTGCATCTGTGGGTATGCAACATCTCAGTTTCATGTATAAATAATAAGGGTGCTGAACAGGAACCTTGTGAAGTTCAAAATCATACTCTCTCTTTTCAAACATCAAAAACTATTAGGGAAACTATGTCAGCTCTTCTAGTCTTTCTTGCTGATTAAGCACAAAATGCAGGCTATACTGACAGCAAACCTCTCAATAGTTTGCAAAGTCTGAAAACCATAGACTATGGCTGAGACATTATAAATGTGTTTGAAGGACAAGGACAATGACAACAACAACACAACTGGAAAAATTCAAAACATCCCCTATTAAGTTTGATTATAGCTTTTCTTTTCTTGTGGGCTTTTCTGCCTTTTTTTTTTGGCAGGATTTTGTTTATTTTGGATTTTTTTTTTTAAGTTGCTTCATCAGAAAGAAGTAGTATTTGAAAATTTTCACTTAAAAGGATATATATTTAGGATAGATATATCATCAGAAACATCACTCTCCACAAAATATCATCAAAAAGTTTATAAACAACCCAATTTCAATTTCTAATGGAATGATCTAGTTAGCCTTAATTGCAGTGTGACCACAAAAAATAGTATTAGTCAGAAAGCCTCTTGGCAGACCTATGCTTTTACTTTAATTTTCAGATGCATTTTTCTTTTTATATCTACTGTATTTAAAAGTTTATAATGCATAATTTCCCCTACAGATGGTATTTTCTAGTTCTGCTTTACTTCAAGTGAGAGAAGAGTGAAAGCAGTAGAAAACTTCAGAAAAATTAATTGCTCTTAACTTTGCACCATTTTTCTTTTCTCATCTTCTCATAAGGAAATACAAAGTCTGACACTTCAATGTTTATCTTTTGCATATAAATGCCTGGCAAACCAATATGCAAGTTGAAATGCCAAGTGAAAAGTGTTTAAAATAAGAACCATCTGACTGCTTTTGTTAGAACGTACGCGCTTAACCTATCACTAACAAAATATAGTACCACCTTTAGAAATACCATCTATGAAAATCCTTTGGTTAAATTATTGTAAAGAAGTAAGACATATATTTGCAGAGACTAAATAAGGAACAGCCTCTATTAGCAGTCCATATGGGGCACAAAATATTCTAGAAAAACCCAAAGCAACCAGTGGTTGATAAAGACGATCAAGCTAAAAAAGACAAGGCAATAAAGCTATACATTTTATAAATTATTATTGTAAATAAAGTATGTTCAATGAGGCAGAAACATGGTCAATAGCTCACCAAGGTGGCATACCATAGTCTTTGAAAATGTCTCACCATATCTGATACTTGATTATGCTGCCAACAAACAATTACAGAAAGTTTCTGTCATCATTAATATTTTAGCCTGCTCCTCAAATTTATCACCAGAAAAAAAATTCAAGAATTTCCAATTTTATTTTTCCCCTTCCCTCAATTTCCAAAATTTCCCCCTTTTCCCTAAAGGGGAAAATCCATTTTCTTGAAATGATTATTTATATTTTAGTGGCAATAGGCAGTTTTCAGACTTTTGTCACCTAAAGCTCCCTTGATCTAGGCTGAGATTTTGAAAACCATCATGATGCACATTCTTACACTTCTGTGCAATGTGCATTTTTCCATTTAGATTTTTCTCCTTTGATTTCTCAGTACCAAGACACCTTCATAACACACCATCTTGTCTTTGATTAAGAAAGACAGAAATGTGAAATCAAGAAAAAAAGCCTAACAGACAACTTCAGATGTCATGTTGAATATCTGTGATTGGAGAAAAGGTATTTTCTGTGCAAAGGCTTTGGTAAGACAGTTGTTTGACCAAAGAAGATTCTTAATTTTCAGGAAAATGATATGTCTTACTTGAAAAACTGTTACTCTTACTGCTCATTTGGCCAAAACATTCAAATTCCTAAAATGCAACGAAGAGAGCTTGACTTTGCCAGACCTGACCCAGCAGCACTGTACCAAAGATCTGAGAGTTGAGCACAGCAATCAAAGGTCCCCAAAGTCTAAACCCTGCCTCACCTGAACAAATGAAATAGAGCAGAAGATTTAGAGCTGGTGAGGCAAGTAAAAATTAAAATTCAAACCAAAAATCTACTTGTGACTTTCAGGATGTATTATTTTTAGTCTTAATTTCAGTGACTTCCTGGACTGGAGCCACAGAGTCCTGTCTGTCCCCCTGGGAAAGCCTCCTTCAACCCAGCAGTTCCAAATCCAGGTCTGAACAACAGTCCCCCTGCTGTTCTTCCAAAGGATCTCCCAGTTTCTTTTCCTACTGGAGGTCCTTCTCACTGCCCTTTCCCTTCCCTGTCACATCTTGCCCCTGCAGCCATTTTGTAGGTTATTCATGTTCAGTTCCTTTCAGGCTAAAACCATTCTTGCCCTAGAACGGACAGACTGGCTTTTTTCTCTGCTGGTTCAACATATCTTCTTAGTATACATATACACTGAACTCAAAGAGGGTCAAATGATTGTATCTCAATTCCATTCTTCTCCTAAGATTTAGATGTTTAAGCAGATCTCTGGAGGATTTTTGGATTTTTTAAAAAAGAAAAATAGCTTAGTATTATGAAATAAAAGGACATTTTGCTTAAATCCTTTTCTGTAAAATATACGACACTAAATTAACCTGTGTTAAGTAGGCAGCTAAATCCTTGTATCAAAGATATTATTTAACTGTCACTTAAATTAGTTTCAGAGATACCATTAATTACATAAAATTAATTCAGACAGTCAGTAATATGAACGAGATCCCCAGAGATCTGCTGTGCTGTGTTAACATTTGCATCGTGCTTTTGCTATAGTAGCAGAATCCAGTTTTTTCACTGTGACACTTCATATTCAAAAATGTACCCACTTCCAGCAAATATATATGGTATCCACGCATTGACTATGTCAATGACTAGGTGCCTCAGGAAAGATTTCAGTAGCTTTCTAAACCAGTAGTCAGATGTCTGTGACAATTACATAGGATGAGTACACTTGAAAAAAGGGTCTATTCTTGTCAAATTACCTAATAACAGGCTGATGTCAATAATTTAATGAATTTAAAGCTTCAATCCCACCAGTGTTTATGCTCAGATGTAGCTTCAACTCCAGCTGCTAACAGTTGTAAGATTATATAACAATGCTTATAATTAAGATGTTTGCATATGTTTAATTTTTCCTTATATGACATTTATTACTTTTTAAACAACAGATTAATTCTTGGCATAATTTTTACAAAGGGTGACCACAATGGAGTATCTGCATGCAGATGAGTTGAGACTCCCTAACTCTTCTAAAACATGGATCGGACACCTTGGCTGATTTTCAAAGCTACTGTCTCATTTCTTTATGCCATATTATACCACGCTTGCTCTTGTGTACCCCATCACCCAGGCTGTGATTTGCAATACGATTCAATCTGAGTCTTTTTTTACCACAGGGTTGACTTATTCCTTCTGTCTTCCTTTTTCCCAACATTGTCAAACAAATATTTACAATGTGCCGTGTCTTAATGCCTTGACTTTTCTTTGACTAAATAATCAACTTTCAAGCCTTAAGTCTTCCATTGCTTGGATTCATAGTATCATAGTAGTTACATGCTGTGCCAAAAACACTGTTCAGGTAATGGGCCCAAAAAACTTCAGCACAAACTGGTATTAAAATTCCATTCAAAAATTATGATGACTGGGGGCTTGGGGGTGGTGAGGGTGGGTGTCATTATCTGTTAAAAAAAACAAAACCTGAGAAAACTCCAAAAGGCATTCAATAGGTTGTGTGCTAATGAAGTGTGGCTGACTGGTTTCTGTGAGATTGCTCCCAATAACATTCTTTGAGAAAAGCCTTTGAACAAACAAACAAACGTACCTTTCTTGAAGAATAAGTTTGTTTTCCTTCTTCCAAAAGTCTTTGAAGTCAGAACTGAATTCATGCCAAATACTGAAGAAAGAATGTGGGGACACCTCCTTCTCACCCATTTTTGGTTTCATAGAGAAATAGGCTGTAGTTTCCAAAAAGCTGTCAAAGAAAGCAGAAATAGCAAATGCTTCAGTACCCACTGATGTTTTTTTTTTTTTTGGACTTGACATTGAAATAGTATTTAATTATTCTTGGTAGCAGATCTAAAATAGAAAAACATAACAGTTCTGAGCTCTTCATATATAAGTAGGTACACAATGTAAGATGATGCTTCTGTAAAGTTGGGATCTGGGATTTATCACAGTTTCTAATTTTGACCAAAGTATTTTCCATTTGAAAAGCTAAAATGAACACACTGTCTACAGCCTTGAAAATCCAGATATCCACACCAACCCATATACTGCTTTTCTCTTGTGTTTAAAGCTGTTTTCAAAACACAGAGTCAAAGCCCATAGAGAACTGTAAATAAACTTCAAGTTCTGTTAGGTCTGCGCTACAACACAATAGCTTCGGCTGGAGACTACACAGAAATATTAAAACTCAAACCTGCTTTGTACTAAACAAGAAATGATGCAACAGAAAACTTGGCCCAGGAACAGCGATGCTAGAAAACAGGTACCCATTGTGACTACCAGAGCAATCCAACAATCCCTTCTGAGCACAGTGAGAGTAAAACTAGTGTAGCAAACACATAAGCTACCACTCAAGTAAAAGCTACTCCTGAAATGCAAAGGTCGTATTTCCCACACTGAGTGAGGATTGTGACTGCAACCAAAATTTAATGTATTTCTGAGTTTGAACTGCTTCTTTTTTTATTTCAGGAATGTCACAGGAAGGTACAGAATAATTATTTTTTAAAACTTTGCTTGATTAACTATTAGACCATTTTGTTTTTTCATTATATGTTTTGTAAATACTAGAGATTTTAAGAATGTTTTCCTGATCTCAAGCTCAACACCTAAGCCACTGGGTAATTGCTTATTTTATGAAAAATGCAATAGAAAATTCTCACTTGAAATACAGCGGTAGGTGCTTTGCTCACTGATCTATAACTATTCATTGACTCCTATGATAATTTTCTCTGAATCATACATCACAGTTTTAATACTTATGGGGAAAAATCCAATTCCAGCTAAATGGATGGAAATGTAATTTTAGTCAAAGAAGTTATATCTTCATTCACGGATTACGATGGTGAAAATAACATACAAAGATTCAGCCATTCACATTGTGATCAGTCTCACAAATGCTGCAAGAAAATGTTTACCCTAATTCTCAAACCTGAGTATTCCAGTTGTTTTGTCCAACCTGAAAAATAAGCACCTACATATATTATCATACTGCAGAATAAAAAAGCCTACATCTTAAAAATTTAACATCAATTTACCAATCAAATTTTACATCACATTTTTTCCTCCTTATTTTCAATTAATTTTTCCATCTGCTAAAGAAAACGGAAGAGGTTGAGCAACAAAGATGTAGCACATAAAAATATAGAAAACATTCTCATTTTTAAACCCATGACATTGGTACTCAAACACTGTCTTACCTGATCATGTAATTTCTTCAGCTCTCTCAGCCTACCATGGCACTCTGTTCTTTAACTCAATGTTTGGTCAATAAATGCCTTTTTTTTTTTTTTTTTTTTTTTTTGGGTGGGTTCTGTTGTGGGTTTGGTTTAGGTACTTTTTTCAAATTATTTATTAATGATTTATACTACTGATTAAAATACTCCATTTTACCTACATTTTTCCCAGAGTTTTATACCAGGAAAGGTATCTATCATCTATCCTCTGATTCCACAGAATCATTAATAAAGAATATCCCTAACACTGCAGTCAGCTGCACTGTTTTAAACTTCTTCCTATTGTCACATATTTTCAACTTTTTGCAAGACTGCAAATGTTCAGGGAGGTATTTTTTCTCCCAATCTCTTCCCCCAGACTTACAGCTCTGCAAATGGCTAGTAGGGAAATCCTATCAAAGACTCATTTGAATTTTCAGAATGAGTTGACAGTATTTTTGGAGGAAAGTGAGGAATAAAGAACAAGAGAGAAATCTTGAGGCATCAGCAGAGTCACATATTTTTTAAGAAGCTCTCTGAATGAAGTCCATTAATGATTTACAAAACAAAGAAAGCTTTTCATATAAGAAACCTTGTTTTGTGAGATGTATCTTCAAAACATTTTGCAAATTACAATGATGAGAAAAGAATTTGACAGTGAATGGCCATACCAAGTAATGCTTTAATATGAGAAAATGAGCTAGAATTCTACCACAAGAAAACATCCCAAGAAACAGCAAGCCAAACAAAATGAAATTCATACTGTATAACGGAATGCTCAATTAAAAAAAAAAAAAAAAAGATAGAGAGCACTAACATCTATTAGAGATGCAAAGACTTCCACTGCTCTTCAATTACTCCAACTATCCTCTGAGAGCAGAAGGAGATAACCAGTGTTTCTTGCCTGATTACTGAAATCTTCCCTGAGGACTACTTGTACAACCATTACAAACTTACACATTCATACAGCTGTGTCTAAGAGCTGTAACATAATTACTAGGTTTATAGAAAGCAGAGAAATGCTCATACAGGTTGCTTGACTCCCTAGCAGTTAGTTTGGGAGGTAGGGAAAATTAGCTGTCTGTGAAATGTGAAAGAGCAGCAGCATAGCAGGTTGTCATTGTTAGTATGTGACACCTTTCTAATGCCCAATAACAATGCACAAGACATCAGCTGCAAGACAGTAATACTTCAGGGTGTAAATCTCCACAAATCAAATATTTTTTTCCATACATGCAGATCAAACAGTCAAGACAGTTGCCATGTTTTTTCCAACCAGAGAGGTCTACTCTTCTTTAGTCTCTTAGAGTTCATTTAGAAGACATATGGAAAACTGCTTGCTATACATTTGATGCTGTCATTTTTGTAGACAAAATGGCATATTTCACACATGAAATAGAAAGCAAATAAAAATGCATCAAATGATAAAACATGGAGAGCAATAAATCCTCTCTGTTGCCATGGTCTTTGAATATCTGATTTGGAAATGTTTACATATGTCAAACTAGACATATCGCAAGGCTGATTCCAGGAAGGGACATGCATTTTAAATACAAAGAGAAATTTGGATGATATTGCCATAGCCCCAAGACTAGATACAATCCTTTCAGAATTAAGCCAGGCAGAAACTATCTTAAATATATTTGGTCTTTGCTCTGGGACAAGCCATTCAAATTTTCCTTTTCGTTCTTTAGCAGATTTTGAAACAAAATATCTGCAAATATCATTGTTACTATTCCTAACTGTGCATCACATAGATATTTTTAATCAAATAAGGGACTAGTTATCAAAGGTCTTTTGTTCTATACTCAATTTCTGCATCATACAACCTTGGGAAGCTCATCTAAGCTGTTTCAATTTCATTTCCCCTATCTGCAAAGTTAAACATTTATTTTGAAACAAGTGTTGCAAAGGTTGTTTAGTGTCCTCAAGTGAAAAGGTTTATATTTACACATACTCTTTCTGAGAGTCTAAATGAAAATAATATACATTAGAGAAGATCTTGAGTCATGAAAGAGGGAAAGAAGGGCATGCAGCTTAGGGATTAAAAGCGATAAAGGAGGGCACTGCCTTTGCTTCCAACAGCCTGACTTTTCAAGCATGATTAAAAATAAGACAGTGATCACACTATCATCTCAACTAGACATGGCAAAAGTCAGAAATCTTTAAACGGATTTCGACTGGGTTTCCTATCCTTCATTTTGGCCCTGGAGGAGAATTAAATAACTCAAAACAATGGAAGAGTTGCTCATCTCTGACAGGTAAGGAAGGAAATAAGATCAGGAAAGATGGTTAGTTCCTCTTCTTCCTTTCTTGTCTTCTAATGTCTTTGGTTCAAGAGTTTGGGTAATTCAGAAAAATCACTTCCGACTGATGTCTGAACTCACTGCTTTCTCAAATGTGGAAATTTTTTTGACTTTTATGTGAGCTCCCTTGAGTACAACTATGAGTCTATGAAAGTGATTTTTCAATTTGGAAGGAAGAAAGGAACGGATATGCTAACAGCCAAATCAAATTTAATGAAAAAGAAAAGAAGCTATTCACATTGCAAATAGTTCATTGACAGCAATACTAGCTAATAGATCTGATCCATTAGGAATATTTTAAGATCAGGTATGGATTATTAAGCTTTTTTCCCATTCAATTCTGAAAATGGCTAGCAAAAAGTTGCAGACAATAATTCCAATTCAAGTCTGCTGTCTGGGATGCACTGGCTGGTTTATAAATGTGTACAAAAGCAAATCAATAATACTAAGACAGCAGTAGTTTCATCTCAGCATTATTTGATCAGGCTTCCTTGGCCAAACAAATAGCAAAGTAACCATAGGTGCAGACACGTCCTGGCTGACCTTTCTGAGAAATGCTGAACGTACACACATGTATCTGGTTTCCCCATGCAGCAAACTAAATCACCTGCAAGTGTGAAGATTTGTTCCAATGTGGATTTAAAAGCAGAAGAAAACATTTCTATTCTGCATAATATTCTTCTGTTTCATAGACTATGTATTTTGGTTGAAGTTTGAACATGGATATGCTTTTCTCTTTTGGCTTTATAAATCTCTAAGCAGCATTTAGGTACATTAGTGATAAAGAACAGTGTAAATGGTGTAACTTGTTACTTTTGTGAAGCAGTTTGTTTCAGAAGCAGCTCTAAATCAGGCTGAAGCTACTAAAGTACCTTTTAGTTCAATTAAACTCACAAATAAAATTTAGAACTAAGCACATTCTACCAAAAGAAAGAAGGTAAATGGGGAAGAAAAGACTCTATGTGCCTCCTACTACTTTAACTGACATGAGTTGATGGGCATGCAAGCCTTTTCACAGTGTCCATCCTGAATTGTTGTCCACATACAGAAGGTGAGTACTTTCTTATATTAAAACTTAACTTTCTTATATTAAAAAGAAAGTTGCGATAATATGCCAGTTTAAATTAGCTTCCAGAATCATTAATCTCATCTTTGCCAATTTATATTGTGTAACTATGTATTTTGTAATATTTTTTCCTTAGAAAACAAAGGTCTCAAGAGATTTTTTT